TACTGCTTTCTCAAGCTAAGTATGTGAGTGACTTTCTTGCAAAAGTGAATATGTCCACTACAAATGGAATGCCCACTCCCATGGTCTCTAACAGCAAGTTATCAAAATGTGGTTCTGACACATTTTCAGACCCAACCCAGTTCAGATCCATTGTTGGCGCTCTTCAGTAGGCTACCTTAACCAGACCTGAGTTATCCTTGTCTGTCAACAAAGTGTGTCAGTTTTTGGGTCTAATCCCTTGGAGGAACACTGGAAAGCAGTGAAAAGAATACTCATGTACCTCAGTGGTACACTTAACTATGGATTACTTATTCAACCTGTTCCTAGGCATCAACCCCTATCTCTTCTAGTGGCAAGATCCAGTGTTGAAGCAGAGTATCAGAGTATGGCTCAGCTGGCTGCAGAGATGTTGTGGATTCAATTCCTTCTCACTGAACTTCATTGTCGGTTTTAGACCCCTAAATACTCTGTGATAACCTAAGCACAGTGACCTTAGCTCATAATCATATTCTTCACAATAGGACAAAGCATATGGAGCTGGACATTTTTTTTTGTAAGGGAAAAAGTTCTCAACAAAAGCCTTATTGTAGTTCATGTGCCTGCCCAAGATCAGTGGGTTGATGCCCTTACAAAACCCCTCTTTGCTACTAAATTCATCCCTCTACGTGACAAACTTAGAGTGTTCAACAAAAGAAGCCTCCTTGAGGCACCCTCATCAGCTTCTAAGGGGGACTATTAGAGATAAATAAATAATAATATAAGTTTCCTTTATGTTAGTAAGCTAACTGTATTAGTTGTCTAATGGTTAACTATGTTTACCTATATATAGTGATCTATTGTATAATGTTTACTTCAAGGAATCAATAACATAATTCTTTCACTCTTCTCTCTTTCTTTTATTATAACAAGGATCCATACACATATCATCTTAAAGTTTTTGGTGAATATATGGTGTTTCTCTCACTTGTTTGAATGAGTCTTTGATCTTTAGATGAGTGTTTGACGACCAACATATTTGAGTTTTGCAACCAAATGATATGACTTTAGTAATTTTTTTATTATTTATATTATTATTTTAAATAAAAAATATATAATTAATATCTCACTAATAATTATAATTTTTCAAAAAAAATATTTTCCATCAATAATACTATTAGACCAATGAATATAGGTCATTCTAAGATTGAATATTGTTGAATTTTATAATATTATCAAGTGTTATGTCGTAATAATAAATTTTATTAGAAATTATATAATATATTTTATCGAATTTGAATGTTATAAATGAGTATGATTGTATTAAGTTGTGTTACTTTTTTTAATAAACAAAAAAAAATATAAAAAATATATTTTTTATTTAAAATATAACTCGCAAACTCAACCCAAATAAATTCAATCCATAAATAAATTAGTCAGTTCCGATCATTTTTGATAATAAAATTGCAGCTTAGACGATACAAATTCAATTTCTAGGGTTGAACTCTTCAATGATATTTTAGTTCTACTTTATTGCCAAGATTAGAATAGTAATATTTGCTTCTTTCCAAAAGAGACAAATAAGTATGCTCACTTACTTACACAATACGACAAGATGCTCCTTTTTACTATTTTTGTTATTGATTAAACTTGTCTTTATTTATATTCTCTTGAAATGACTAATGTTGGATATTACTCCATGTTACAATTCATCATGGTATATATTTATTAATACATAAGGGTATTTATTTTTTGGAATCAAGATATACTTCTTATATCCAAAAATTGTATGTAAGAAGTGATCCATAATGATCCAGCTAAGCTAAAATAATCTAAATTCAGATTATTTTCAAAGCTAGCTCAAGTTAAAATAATCTAAATTTAGACTATTTTCAAAGCTAGCTCAACATTAGTCTAGCACAATGATGTTTCAACTCTGGCCTCATGTTCTTCATACTATTTTCCCTCTAACCATGCATTGCCAGCTCTCTAATTGCTGAATTGTCGTTATGCACTTCATCAGGTTCTTCATGTTCCACGAGCAACTTGAAGGTATCTGTGTTGTCATAATATTTAAGGTAAATAAAAATTAATTTAATTATGAGCATCATTTTGCTATCATTATTTAAAATTCAAACAAAATTAAAATTGCATTTAAGTATTATTTAAATTAAAAATAATTGATTTTTGTAACACCATTTTTCGCAAATAAAACTAATTTTTAGTCCATATCTCTACACTTTTTCACTTAATTGAAAGTTTTTGTGATTTAACCTAAATTTGTCTTTTTTTTACTCTAGAGGAACATAGTAATAAAAAATCTCCTGATTTTGGTTAAAAACAACTCCATCAAAAATCTCTTTTTATGATAAATTAATTGGATCGACACAAATTCTTTTGTTAGAGGTAAAGAGGATATGATAGCCAATAAGAATGTTTATATTAAATTTAAGGAAATATGCACAAATCCTTTGGAAGAGGTAAATTGGATCGACACAAATCCTTTGGAAGATGTTTTTAAGGAAATGTGCACACAATTGATCGATATTGTTGTTGTTAAATTGTTTGGTGAAAATTGGATACAAGACTATAAAAGATAGACTCCTCAGAGTTTGGAAACTTCAAGGAGGAATCGAGATCATGGACACTGATTATGGATTCTACTTGGTTGATTTTTAGACGTGGTATGAATTAATTATGATTTTTCTAAGCGTCTTCTGAACAAAAAAATAAAAAACCTTGACGTAAGAATCGAATTTTGAAATTATTTTTTGCATAGACTTCCCTCATAACAAATAGAAAGGATCTGCATAATTTTGTAGCATTTCGAATGGTCCTCGATTTATTTTAATTTTTTGTCCGAAACTAATATAAACGAGAGGTGGAAGCAACAAAACCTTGGTCTATGAAATGAATTTTGATATATCAAGTTGCGAATAAAGAAAAAGTCGTCTCAGAAGGGCCAGGGGTGTTATTCGACCACTATCTTACAGTCTCTTATTGGACACTCGAGATTGCTTCACTAGATGCGAAGACGAATAGAACTATTGTCTAAATAAGATTCCCAAGCTTAAACCTTACTTATTATGACACGAGATTTTTACTTTCAATAGTGTTAGCAGCTAGGAGACCAATCAAAGTGGATAACAACACACTGAGAGTGGAACGTGGTAGATTTTCCACAGTTTGTCTAGAGATGTTTCTCACTCAGTTTGTAGTTAGTGTGGAACGTGGTAGGTTTTCCACAGTTTGTTTAGATATGTTTTTCACTCAGCTTGTAGTTAGTAAAATCTAAGTTAAAAGTTTGTTTAGAGATGTTTTTCACTCAGCTTGTAGTTAGTAAAATCTAGGTTAATGGTCATTGATAATAAATAAAATATGAAAGACTATATGTCATTCGTACGAGTTGTGGATGTTATGGTCATCTAAGTCCTAATTGTAGAGAACAAATTGATTCTCATAATGAAAATTATGGAAGCCAGATCGATCAAAATAAAAATCAACACATCAAGATACATTTACGATTTTTAAAGTTTTGAAAGGGATGTCAACACGAATCCAAACGACTGCGCATGTCTCAAAGAAAAAGGAAAGTGCATTCGCGCCCCATTCAACTGCAAGCGCGACACACAATAAATAGATTTTAAATTGCGTGAGATGGATAAGATAACTTAAGTTAATGACTACGGAATGAATAGAGACAAAATCATTATTGATGTGATTAAAATAATTAATAAGGATGTTGCATTAAATGGAAAAGGAATAAAGAGAAACCAAATCATTGTTGATGATGTTAGTGCATGGATTAGCAACAATACCATTATGAATAGTCAAACCAATTCGGTTAAATGCATATTAAATTGCAACACTAAATGCAAGAAAAAAATGTTGCCACGTGACAATAAATTTTCTTTTTTTAAGGATAATATGGTACAAATCAGGAAAATATTTTACATGGATAATAGATTACTATTACTATAAGGCAAAGGTATGATGTTGAAGAGTTAGGTTCTTGTAGTAATTTTTCTATCTTTAGTTTAAATAGTAATAATTTTGAGAATAGTAAACACCATATTCCCCCATAAGAACTTTACACCCCATACCTATACCAAGTTTGCTAGTTATTTCAGGTGGCAAAAATGGTATGCTAAATAAGAATCAACACATATAACTTTCTACCAATAAAGATAAAGATCAACACAGATGGGGTGAATACATGTGTTATACAAATTCTATAAGAGGAGTAAAATACATTTTTTTTTATTTTTTATTTTAATGATTATTTTATCTTAGAATTGCATGGGTACTCAAAGAAGAAACTTTGGCAGAGACTGTATTTTCAAAAAGTTTGATAGGGTGTTCTACAATATTGAGTGGAGACTCAATTTTTCAGAAACATTTATGAAAGTTTTGCCATATATTCAGTTAGATCATCATCTGATAATTGTTATGCTTCAAGGGGAGCCTTATTATAATTCTAACCATCCTTTTAGATTTGAGGCAGCTTAGCTTATGCATGAATTTAGTGAAGGAACAGAGAGACAACGGTGGAGGCCACTCACGGAAAACAGAGTGGTAGATAAGAATTTACGATGAAAATGATTCTCAATACCATATTAAAAACTAAGATAGTGGAGAGAAACATCATTACTGAAACGTTAATTGTATTTAATGGATCTGTTAAATTCACTTACACAAAGGGAACAACTTATATAGTTGATTCTTATCCTACATTATTGAGGACTTGACCCGATTAACACACATCACACTACCAAAGTCTTAAAAAGCAGTGTAAGAAAACAAGAACATTAAATCATTCCTGAATTCAATAGTCAATACCATTTATATCAAGGAAGCAACGTAGTTGGAATCAAATGCAGGGTTGCATCAACAAATAGCAAATAACAGTGTTATTTACAAACTATATACAAAAGCAATAACTTGTATGAAGAAATAACATTTGGTTTCTTCAAACAAGGCACTTCAAGCTCCATGTCCTGGCATGTGCCATACATTTGCCATGTTCATGGAGCAGCCATCTTTAGAGCCTTCAACTTGAGAGCGAGTTTACCGCCTGAATGAACACCCTTTGCTGCAACTTTTATCAATGAACGGCTTTGGTACAGCCTGTAATGAAATTGAATTAAGGCTTTAAAACAATGAACAAAATTTCAAGTGAAAAACAACTTGAAAGCATGGCAACAGTTTTAGAGATAGCAGGAGTGTGTGTTACCCTGCCAAAGCAAGCCCCCAGGTAGAAAGCGTATAAAACAACTTCCCAGCATTCCAAATATCTAAAATCTTTTCCAGTTTGCTTGTACCAGCAAATGCTTTTGACAGATCTGTCATCAAATGATTTAAAACATGAGAGAAACATTTTGTAACTAGTATATCACAATAGCAAAAAGGGCTTGAATTGGATACTTCATTCAAAATCGTGTTAACATAAATACTGTCAATGGTTGATAGACTGATTATAAAATAACTAGAAATTCTACAGAAAGAATCAGACTTTTTTCTGCTCAATAAGCATAAGCTTTATAGTAATCTGACAGCAAACTTACTTTCCTGTAATTCCTCTGGTGACAACTTCTGCAATTATAACGAAGCAAACAATGTAAGATGCAGCATATATCAATTATAATAATCCATTTTGGCATATGCATTGAGTGAGTGAGTGTGTATACCAGGGCTTTCGGGTTTGACATAATGCATCTTGCCATAAAGTTAGCAACTCCATCAACCACATGTTCCTCACTGATGATCAAGTAACTCTCATCATCAATTCCACTACATTCCTCAAAATTAACCGGATCCGTCTCATCAGCAACCCAAACCCACCAACTCGGCTCTTTAGCGTCCACATTGATTAAAATATCAGCGGATCGATAATCAACCTCTATATCAAATCCAACAAAAAAACCCAAGAACACGTCGTCAATATCAAAACAGTCCATCACATCATGTCATCAACAACAGAGAAATTTAACTACATACATACCAGTGGCCTCCTTAAAAGGAAATTGATTTCCACCACTAGCAGTTTCCTTTTGTAGACACTTGAGCCGAGTCAAGTACTCATCGGACCTCACCGTAGCAGCTAATCGCACGTGCAACTACAACCAAATAACACCCAAACACATAAATGTTAAAAATAGAAACCATAACAATAACAAAAACCCTATGAAACACAGACACTGGAAACACGACACCCGAGACATACACGCCAACACCGACACTTACCGATTACGTTTAATTTGTTAATTTTAAGCATTATTCTACGTAATAAAGAACAAATTAACATGTTTCTAATAAAAATTGAGAAAAATTAATTAGAAAAAGTAATAGGGTTACGTGAATATACATCGGGAGGGCAATTGTTGATGAATGAATTTGATTCGGAGAGGTTATGAAGAAGCTTAAGATTCTGATCAAGCAAACTCCTGAGGCGTCGATTTTCCGATTGAAGAGACTCTAAGTCGTGATCAGAAGGATTGTCGGCGTTATTGTCGGGGGTGGCAGGGGGATTATGGTGACAGAGATGGTGGCCGCATTCAACGGCGGTCCAAGCGACGTCGGCAACTTCAAGCACCGTTTTGGCCATCTCTACGGCGTTGTGTGCACGCATGATTCGAATTTTAGGGGTTGCGTAATTGGAGGTTTGGGATTAGGGCAAATGAATGATGTGGTTTCTGAAATCCCTAATCGGATTTCAATTTGTCATAGGAAACAGGTTGTCGTCGTTTCCGTGTTGTGAGTTAGGGTGTAAATTTGAATGAGCTGGTTTTGTTGTTTTCATAAAAAGATAGATATATCTTCTTCATTCTATTATTACTATGATTTTCTTTCTCTGTAATAAAAACATTATTATGATTTTTCTGTTAAAAATTTTATCACTATATATTAATATAAAAAGTTGAATCTATGTAACATGTCTGTGCATTTTTTTTTCTATACATTTCTTTCTTTTTTTTAGGTATTGATTTTAGATTTTTTTTTTTTTACATATTAATCATTACTTTATCAGAATTATTTTTAATAAATAATTAAATATATAATAGAAATCATTATCATACGAATTTAAAAATATCGATCTAATTTGGAAAAATACACTTTTCTATTAATAGAAGAAAAAAAATTTTAGTTTTTGAAAATTAAATTTTCATAGAGTCGACTAAACGGATATTAATTAATTGAGATGGACAAATAGAAAACACTCTTAGTTTCTTAATAAGTCAATTAACAATAGCATTTCTTTTGCATGAGATGTGAACAAGGACAACTTGTCACTTTTTATGAATAAGAGATTGGATATAATCCCGAGAAGTGCATAAGGATGAGTAAATGGCACACCCTCTTAAGTAAACTTCATATTCATTTGAGAGTCAGACTCGCAAATCACATTTCTAGAACCATGATTTAAAACAATACCAAGACCATGAGAAATGGCTTGAAACTCAAGATTAATATTAGAAGTGAAACCACAGCTTTCTGCAAAACCTCTAATCCAACCTCTAGAAGAGTTTCTCAAAAGACCATCAGAGTCTGATGACCCTGGATTACCAATGAAACTACCTTTTACATTGACCTTTACACCATTCTCTTGGGAGGGTGTCAAAAGATAAGTCTAAGGGTTGATATCTTATTAGAACAATCAAAAACCTGCTTTATAGAGTGTAAAAGAGTAGTTATTTGTCTAAGAATATTCTAGATAGATCGACTGTTGTCTTTGAAGGACTCTTTGGTACGAGATTTCCAAATCATCCAACAACAAATGAGAAACAAAGGGCCATGATAGGAAACTGCATTAATTTTTATACAAGTATATATATCATCCTCATAAAAATTAAATTGAGGTGGAAAACTGAAACTATTCCAAACTTGCATGGCTTTAGGGTAATCATTAAGAGTGTGTAAGATTGTTTCATTAGTTGCACCACTTCTATAACAAGAGACAGATGTTGACATGTGATGAGTGGCTCGTGTATAGTTGATAGGTAACTTTCCATGCATGATGATCCAAATAAAATGACGAATATTTTTTAGAAAACACGGGGTTTCAAATCCATGACCAAGTCATTATCTAAATATAAGGTGGATTAGACTCTAAAGTTAACCAAGAATAAGCTTATTTGGTAGAATAAGTACCTGGTATTAAAGGTTCCCAGATAAGAATATCATATGAGTCGTCATTAGTAAAGATACTATTCATCTTCATTTTTATGTCCCGGGGAAGATGGGTAAATATGATGTCAAAACTCTAAATATCATAATTGTAAACATCCATTATGTGTAGGTGTGTATCCTGCTCATCCACCGAAGGGATTCTGTCACAAATTCTACCATTTGGGAGTCATTTATCATGCCAAAGGAAATGTCCCCTCTCCCTACTTTGGTGATAAAACCCGACTTGAGAGCCTCAGCTGCTTTAGTAATAAAACGTCATGTGTACGATGCTCCATGGTAATCATTTTCTCTAGGATGAGAGCTACATAATTATATCTAGCTGATAATAACTCAACCCATAACTTGTCAGGATTGTGAAGAAGTTCCCAAACATGTCTATCCAACATGGCAGCATTAAAAAATCTAGTTCTCGTGATGCCAAGACCACATCTAGTAGAAGGTTGGGTTATGGTATCTCATATAACCCATTGAAAAAATTTGCATCCCTAACAAACTATCATATACAATAATCAATCTTACTACAAATGTCTTTTGGAAGCTACAAAATATGCATGGTATAAATAAGCATAGGACAAAGCACAAACTTAGTAAGTGTCGCCCTCTCAAGCCTACTAATAAGCATACATTTTCATCCAACTAAAATTGAATTAATTTTATCAATGATAAAGGAGAAAATTGAAGTTATGACCCTACCAGAAAGCAAAAGAAAGCCAAGATATTTAACAATATTAAAGGTATGCTGGAAGTTAATCATACTTTTAAATTTCATTACCTTTTCCCGAGATAAATTCTTAGAGTGAAGGAATTTAGATTTATGAAATTGAAATTCTGGTATGTAGATCTCAGATGTCCTAAGAGATGTTGAGACATTGATCTCTGCTTTACTAAACAAGGGAAGAACAAGAACATTCTGATATCTCAAAGTCATAACAGTACTGTGACAAATGTTTCAACATCTGTTAAGACATATATTTTAGAGCATAAGAATAAACTGAATTATACATAGCAGAATGATAAATAACACTAAGATATGATAACCCATTTCGGTGTAGAACAACACCTACATTTGGAGGCTACCAAGTCAGAAATAATTCACTATCAGTAGTATTAATTCTAAGTATAAAACCTTTGGTAACTTATCACTTAATTTCTTACCCAGTGCAACTTCTACCTAGAAACTCATCTAGATAAGAGAAATCCATCTCAATTTCTAAATTACCTCAGTAATATCTAACAGTCACAACCTCCGGTGACTGTATCAAACTGTTCAATTGAAAGACAACCCTTTTAACACAATATTAAGTCTATACTCTTAACTAATGTTTGTCGCTACTGCGAAAATCGGCGCCGGCCGAACAAAAGAGTCGCCATCGTGCGTTATTTATCCCACGAGAGGGAAAGGAAACGCTCAGAGTAAACCTCGCACAACACGGGAAAGGTATGGTCGTCGCAACCAAAACCTGGATTCGGGAGTCGGTTACGCAAGGGGAAGGTATTAGCACCCCTCACGTCCGTCGTACTCGACGGGATCCACGCTTGTTTTCGGGTATGGATTGTTATTTCTATCTACTCTATAGGTCAGAGGTTAAAAAGAAGAGAAAATGACTCGGCAAAGCATCGCACTTTATGCCTACGTATTCCCGTCTGGAACGAGAAATCAGAGTCAACGTAGTTCGCCTACCCACGGGAAATGAGGGGAAGGTTGCTCGCTAGGATATCGCATCCTATGCCTACGTACTTTCATACAGCATGAAAGATCAGAGCAAACGTAGTTCGGGCCACGTACGACACAAGTCTGTCTTGGTTGATTTTATTCCTTCTGAAAAAGGGTTTTTCTGATTAACAGTCCCAGCGGACAAAAATGACGTTTTGATGAGTTCACATTCTTTTACGGAAGAAGTGTCTTTTATTGTGTTTGAAAGATTTATTGTGTTTTTCTGTTTGTTTTGAGAAAGAAGAGACAGAACTCTAACCTACGGTTGCGGAGGGAATCAAACTAACCTAATGTTATCATGCATGGGTTAAGACCTAGTGTCTATCATGCTCCTCTCTTGCACAGAGAGAAACAGAGATCCTAAGGGAATATACGGAAACAGAAACAATAGCAGATATATACAGTAAAGCGGTAAAATGCATGGATGCAGCAATACAAGCGAGGCAAGGGAGTCCCACTCGACCTCGAACCTAGAAAACAATAGGCAAAAGTGAACAACATTCACTTTCAACCCAACAGGTTAAACAACAAGCAATACAGTCCAGAAAACCAATCAATACATCAGAAATGAAAAACAGCAAAAATAAACAGCCACAGCAGCTCTGCATCAACATCTGACTTCAAGTCCTCATCAATCAGCTGTAAGCTTCAGCAAGCATCAATCTCCATCTCCACAGCCTTCAGGCAGGGTCTTTGCCATCAATCTTCAGTCTACAATGGCTTTTCTTCAAGTCTCATCCTCCAAGCTGAGGGATCAATCACAAGAGTGAATTGGGTGTTAAGCAATTAGTTGACTACCAAGGGTGGCAAACCAACTGCTACTAACACATAAGACATTTTCTCTCAAGAGTTATATCCCTTAGACAGTAGCACCAAGCCTTCCAAAGGAAGGGGGTGAGTGTCTTAGAGAGACTCTGTATCACAGAGAGGAATGGAGGCAGTCAAAACCTTCCATGTTTGAGAATCAAGCTTTCTAATCTAGAGCTCTGCCTAGCTCCTAAACCCTAATCTCCTCAACAGCAGCTAGCAGGAATCTCCTCATCAACTCTGGAAGTTGGTCTTCAAGCTCTAGATCTCCAATGGCTTCATCATCACAAGTCTTCAGCTCTCCCCAAGTCCCAAACAAACCCAATACCCCACACAGACAAAAAGATAACCCTAAAGAGGGCACACCACACAATTAATCACATATAAGCCATATACTAGTAGCAGTAGGGGAAACCTATTATTTTCTAAGGGGATCTATCCTATACCCATAACCCCTATAGTCCATACCCAAAAAAACAAATGAAAATCTCCTAAAAGAATTAAACTATCTCACCTAAGCTCATTTAAAACCCTGATTTGAACACCTAAATGCCACATAAGCAAACTATATCAAAACAAGCTTCTAAAAATCATAGTATAAAATCCAGAGAGTCTACACATTCATATTTGATAGCACAAAAAAGAATGGACCTAAAATCACTAAGGAAGTGCATGAACAAAAATTGACAAATTCATGTATGAAATGAAACACCTAAATAGGCATTTATTTGGAAAATATGGGAAAAATATCAAATAAAAAATAAAATGCAATTTTTATTTTTTATAATTTTCTAGACATCTTGAAGAAATTAATACAAAAAGAATTATCAGAAAATAATGTTTTTTCAATTTGATATGATTTTTTGAAAATGTATGAAAATGAAAAGAAATTAAAAAAAATGAAATATAAAGAAATAGAG